TGCAAGTACAGAAAAAGAGTGAGATCACCATGTGCCTGGACAAAAACCCCAGGAGCAGGGCCAAAACTAGGGTAAGGCTCTCTTTGGGCACAATACTTAAGAGGGCGCCAAAAAAACTCAGTAACTGAAACAAGTAGTATGTTAACGCAATATTTAAAAAAATTTCCAATAAGCTATCTATGGCCCATGGACCAATCAACTGCTTTTTAAAATAAAGTTTAATTGGAGACAAGTGAGGTAGGGAGTGCAGGGACAGATCCTGTCTTTATTTGAAATTTTGATATTTTCATGGATTTTTTAGCATAAATTTATTGTGTTAAATATATAGGTAACAAAACATTTCCCATTTCAACATTCTTTACATGTACAGTTCAGCGACATAAAATATGTTCATCATTCTGTTCAACCATCACCATGAACTGTTTCCAAGTTGTTTGCTTTCATGTTGATTCTTTAAAATGTTGTGTTGTTAGATGCCATCGAGTCGGCTCCTACTCATAGCGACCCTCTGTACAACAGAAGGAAATAACTGCCTGGTCCTGTGCCAGCCTCACAATCCTTGCTATACCCGAGCCCATCTTTGCAGCCAATGTGTCAATCCATCTCGTTGAGGGCCTTCCCCTTTTTTGCTGACCCTCCACTTTACCAACCATGATATCCTTCTCCAGGGAATGGTCCCTTTGGACAACATGACCAAAGTAGGCGAGACGAAGTCTGGCCGTTCTCGCTTCCAATGTACATTCTGGTTGCATTTCTTCCAGAACAGATTTGTTAGTCCTTTTAGCAGAGCATGGTACTCTTAGCATTCTTCTCCAGCACCACAACTCAAAACCATCAACTCTTCTTCGGTCTTCCTTATTCATTGTCCAGCTTTCACATGCATATGAGGCCATTGAAAATACCAGGACTAGATCTTTAAAATGGGAGCTCTGGTGGCTTAGTGCCTAAGGCATTTGACTGCTAACCGTAAGCCATTCCTCAGAAGGAAGATTGGGCAATCTACTTCCATAGAGATAAGGCCTGGGAAACCCAAGGAGGGGTCGCTATGAGCCAGGATCCACTTGATGGCAGTGAGTGAGTGAGTGAGTGAAATCTTTAAAATAGTGCATTGAAAATTATTTCTCTTGATTACTGAATGATTTGGGCACCCCCTTAAATTCTGTGCTGAGGTGAATGCCTCTTTCTTCTCACTATATTCCATGGGGCTTTGCCAGTGAAGCCAGAGGAGACTGGGGGAAGGGGAACGCAGAAAAAGCAGAGTGGAAACATTGTTAGCCAGACTGGGGTTTGCAAATACAGTAACAAAGATGTTCCCAGAAATTGGCTCAGGAGAGCCTAAAGGGCTGGGTTGAGGGTGACGAAATTATTTTAGCTAGAATATATTAGCGGTTGTATCCAAATGGTGAAGAGGCTATGTGAACTAGGTTGAAGTAA